CCCCCCCACCCCCATCCACCTCCCCCCCGCTCCCTAGAATGTCCGAACGCAAGGTCATCAACAAGCACATCCCGGTGGACTTCGACCCGGCCCTCCTGCCGCGGGTCAAGCGCCGGGCCGACAAGCAGGTGAAAGTCCGTCTGGAGTCGCCCTTCACCTGGCGGTGTAACTCCTGCAGCAACTACACGTACTTCGGCAAGCGTTTCAATGCGCGCAAGGAGGAGGCCGAGGCGGCCCTGTCGTACCTCGGGGTCCGGGTCTTCCGGTTCTACATCCGGTGTCCCTCCTGCTCGGCGGAGGTGATGTTCCGCACGGACCCGGCCAACAATGACTACGTGCTGGAGAAGGGTGCCACGCGGGCCAATGAGTCCTGGCGGGATGGCCAGCGCGAGCGCATCGCCCGGGCCGAGCAGCAAGACCGCGAGGCGGCCGAGGCGGCCGCCCGCGGCGAGGCTCCCAAGAAGGAGGACAGCCTGGCCCAGATCGAGCAGCGCATGCTGGACGTCCAGGCCGAGATCGAGCGCGACCATCAGCTGGAGGATATCCGCGCCGGGGCGGCCCTCCGTGCGCGGGCCACCCCCGGGGCCATCCTCAGCATGCTGGATGGCAAGCACCGGGCCGAGGAGGCTCGCGAGCAGGAGGAGGAGGACCGGCTGGTGCGCGAGGCCGAGCGCCGCATGGCCGCCGCCCGGCGTGTGCCCTCCTCCGTCAGCAGCCTGGCCTCCGATGACCTGGGGGCCTGGGCGCCGGTGGTGGATGTCCCGGCCGGGCCTGGCGCGGCCGCCGAGGCTGCCCCGGCCGGACCGGGCCCGACCTCTGCCGCCGGTGGTGCCGCCCCCGCGCCGGGGCCCCGTGTGATTGCGCGTCCCAAGCGCCAGCCGACCATCGCCGCCATCGAGGAGGACGATGATGGCGACCGGGCTGGCGGCGACCGGTTGCCGCCGCTTGGCCGCTCGACCCGGCATGCGTCGGCCGCATCGCTGCTGCCGGCGGTGGCCGATGCCGGGCCGGCGGCCGTGGCGCCGGTGTCCCCGGCTTCGGATGCTGCTCTGTCCGAGGCCCGGCCCTCGTCGGCAGGGCCGGCAGCCGTCCCGGCTGTCAGTGCCCCGGTGGCGGCCGCCCCCCCGGCGGTGGCGTCGCTCTCGGCGCCCCTGGTGTCCGGGGGCCAGGCCCCGCGTAGCCGGCCGAATGGTGTCGGCTCGGCGCGGCCCCGGTCCGGCCTGCTCGCCGGCGTGGTGATCAAGCGCCGAAAGACCGACGCCTGAGTCTGGCTCGCGCGCGTGCGTGTGCGTGCGTGCGTGTGTGTGTGTGTGTGTTCGGCACTCCCCCCTTCCCTCCTCCACGGCGGCCCTCTCTATCCCCTTTCCCCTGCCACCCGACTGTCCTTGTGTATTTTCTCCCTTCCAATGTAGAGACCCATCATGCATCGTGCGGGGGAGGGCGAGTGTTATTGCTTTGGGCGTGGTTGCCCATGCGCGCGCGCGCGCGCGCGCTTTGCCGCCGCGGGACGGGGCAGCAGCGTGCGCACAGGGCCGGACCTCAGGGGAGGTATGGCAGGTGGGTGGAGCATCAGGCGGCCCGCCGTCACCCGACCAGGTTGGCGCCGCTCACTTCTGGAAGGGGATGCCCGTGTCTGGGGGGAGCTGCTTGCACAGGTTGGAGATGGGCTTGAAGTGGGGGTTGTCGGCGGAGTTCTCCAGCATGTCGAACAGGGCCGACTCGCTGGTGGTCAGGAAGGCGCCGGCCTGCTTCATGCGCTGCATTGGCAGCATGTGTGTGTGTGTGTGTGTGTGTGTGTGTGTGTGTGTATGCCCGCACGCGGGGGGAAGGGGGACTGGTCAGTGGGCCGGATGGCCTCGCACAGAGGGGGCGGAACACTCAGCTCGAGGGGGAACGGTGGCGAGGGCGCACCTCGAAGGCAGTCTGGCGGTCGAAGGTCCGCTGCGAGGAGGTCCCGTCGGTGAGAACGTGCACTTCCACGTCGCCGCGGGCCAGCAGATCCAGGACCGTCTGCTGGACGCAGACATGCGCCTGTGCGACAGGGGGGTGCGGGGGGGGGGGGGAGAGCCGAAGGCATGTGTCAGCGCGAGTGGCGGTAGCACGGGGGCATATGGAGGACCCGGCCCTCCTGCTCCGCGAAAGCGCCCGGATTGGCGAGCGAAGCCGGGCCCGGGAGGCCAAGGAGGCGACGGGACGAAGGGCAGAGAGAAAAGGAAGAAACACAAAAGCAAGAGCAAGGGAGAGCCCGGCTCCGCATCGAGGGGGGGGGGGGCGCACCTCCAGGCCGAAGACCACCACCGACTTGGGCTTCATGCGCTCCAGGTCGCGCACCACCTCCGGGATCATCATGGAGAACTTGGTCTTCGGGTAGACGGAGGCCCGGCCGGAGGTGACCAGCTCGTCGAGGCCCACCTCGGGCACGGTGGCCCCCAGGCGCAGGGGGTTCTGCTCGGTGGCAATGACCGGCAGGTCGAGGATGGTCGAGGCGCGGACCATGCGGTTGGCCACGAAGGAGACCGACGGGAAGAAGGACACCACCTCGGAGAAGCGCGTCTGCACATCGCACAGCATCAGCAGGGTGGATTTGGCGTTCAGGCGCCCGGGGCGGAAGTGGGCCATGGTGCTACGGAGGGGGAGAGGAGGGCGGGAGGGGGCGGGTCAGGGGGAGAGGAGGGGGGGGGGGAGGAAAAGGGAACAGGGCTGCCGCGGGCCTGGGGCGGAGGGGCGCTGTGGCGGTGGCTTTTGGCCGGCCCGCACGGGCCTACAAACATGGGACGCGGAGCCTGCGATCGGCCTCCGGGGCAGCGGGGTCTCCGGGGGCGGGGGGCCGGCCTGGCCTGGCGACGCGCGTCCGGTCCGTGTCGCCCGCCGGAAATGGGCCGATCGAAAGGGGGGGCCGGCGGGGGCATTCCGGGGCCGGGCGAGCGTCGCCCCCTGAGCGGAGCGCGGCCGGGGGACGGGCGCGCGCGCGCGTGTCCGGCCCCCGGCGGCCTAGATCGCCCGGCGGGGGGGGGGGGCCGGGGCGGCGGGCTCAGCCCGCCTGCCTCCGAGTGAACCGCCAAAGGCGGGCGGGCTGGCTGTTGCCACCGGGCGAGGGAGGCGAGCGTCACGTGCTGCCCCGGCGGCGCGCCATGCCCACCCCCGGAGAAATGGGACTCGCAAGCTGGGGGCTGTGTCGCGGAACCGCGCGCGCCGGCGCGCGCCAGTGTTGCGTCGAATTGCTTGTGCGTGTCTGGAAAGGGGGGGGCGTGAGGCGCGCCTGGAGGCTGTTGCAGCCTGCGGCCCCCGGCCCGGCCCATTTGCCGGGGAGTTGCCCGAATTGAGTGGCGGTGATCCTGGCCGGCGGCCCGGCGTTCCTCTCGGGCCCGGGTCGCGACTCCGGCCTTTGCGCAATCTCAGCCAGGCGGCCTCCGGGCGGGGGCCTATGAGTGCGGGCGGAGCAGGGCATTGTGGCCCAGCCAGCCCGAGCCACCCCGGGCAGTTCCCCTCTCGCTCCTGCTCTTGTTCTCGCTCTTCCTCAGCGCTCCCCGAACGCGATTGCCCGCTTGCCTCCGCTCTCCTTCCCTCCCTCCCTTCCTCTCTCAGTGTGTTTGTGTGATTGTGTACTTCCCTTCGTTCCTCCTTCCTGTGGCATCGCCTCCCCTCGGCTGAAGTGCGTTCGTCTGGTCTGTTGCCTGCCGCCCCCCCGCCTGCCGGCTTGCTTGCTTGCTCTCTCTCTCTCTCTCTCTTGCTCTCGATCGCACGTGCGCTCTCTCCCCCCTCTCCCCCCCTCTGACGCCAACACCCCTCCCCTTTCTACAGGTCCGAGCTCCCCCGCCAAAATGCCCAAGCTGACGGCGGACCAACTGCTTACTCAGCTCAGCGACATCGCTCTGCACGCCGGCGCCGAGGCGGCCCAGGCCGATGGTACGCTCCCTCCCCTCCCGCGCCGTGTCTTTTGCGGCGGTTCGCCACACCCCCTGTCACGCCCTTTCTCTCTCTCTCTTTCTCTTTCTCTCTCTCTCTCTCTCTCTCCCCCCCCCACACAGAGGCTGCCCCCTTCGCCACCTAACTCCGCATGTTCCCCTCCTCGGCTAGCCGATGAGCCAAACTCCGACATCACTGCCATCCACCTGCTCACGTCCAGTGTTGATGGTGAAGTCCTGCCGGTGGTGGCCCCCTCGGCCGAGGTCCCGGCCGATGCGGCCTTCTGCGGGTCCATCTTCTCCTCTCGTAGCGACCTGGTGCGGCCGTGGCTGCTCATGCCTAGCACTCCTCTCTCTCTCTCTCTCTCTCTCTCTCGCTCTCTCTCGCTCTCTCTCTCTCTCTCTCTCGCTCTCTCTCGCTCTCTCTCTCTCTCTCTCTCGCTCTCTCTCGCTCTCTCTCGCTCTCGCTCTCGCTCTCGCTCTCGCTCTCTCTCTCTCTCTCTCTCTCTCTCTCTCTCGCGCGCGCGCGCGCGCTCTCTCTCGCTCTCGCTCACTCCCCAACCCCCTCCCCCTCCCTACACCTGCCGACTCGCGCTGGCCTGCTGTGCGCTCCCTTGCCCTGCCTCCCCCCGCTGATAGATGGTTGCTGGCGAGCTCCTCGCCGATTCGACCCCCTTCACGGACGCCTGTGCCAGCCTGCTCACCCCGCGCCTGCCCCCGCTGACCCGTAGCCAGGCGTGCGTTTTGACTCCCACCCCCCACCACCTCACACACGCACGCACACATGCACGCGCGCGCGCGCGCGCGCGCGACTCATCATACAGCCCCCTCGGCTCCACTCTAATGCCCCCTCCCCCCTCCTATCCCTCATCGGCGCACGCGCAGCCCCATTCCCGAATTCGACCTCTCAGTGGACCTGGCCCTGCAGCACATTTACTCGAGCGCCTCGCTGCCGGCCACCTGTGCCCTGGCCTTCTCCGGGTTCGGCGAGTCGGCCCTCGACACCGGGTACATGGTGGTCCCGACCGCGGACGGCACGGCCAACGACTCCATGGCGCTGACGCGCAAGCCGCAGGCCGGCGGGGCCTCCTCCACCATGGGGACCACCACGTCGAAGCCCTTCCAGCCGGGTGGGCTGGACCTGTCCGGGCGCCTGGGCGCGCGGGCATACCAGGCCATCGAGGCCCTCGACAGCCTGGCCGGGGTGGCCTCGGTGGCCGATCTGTACAGCAAGATCCCGGCCTTCACCGGGCCGGCCGGGCTGAGCCTGACCGGGCTGGAGGTGGCCGATGCCGGGGTGGCCTTGCCGACGGAGCTGGTGCAGGAGCTGCGCCAGGCCGCGGCCCCGGGTGCCCCGGAGGCCGCCGTGGATCTCGGCCTGTCCTTTGCTCAACTGCATGAGGCGGCGCTGGAGCGCCTGCGCGTGCAAGCCAGCCCCAGCACTCTGGTGTCGTCGCTGCCCGGCATTTCGGGGACGCGCATGGCCGACGCCGGCGAGTCCTTCTCCTGGCTGGTGGACTCGTCGGAGGGGGCTGGCGCGTTGGCGCCGGCGGCCCCGGCGTCCGATGTCCCCTTCGACCCGCTTGACGACCTGATGGCCAATGTGCCGGAGCTGGCTCCCTCGGTGCGTGGCTCGGTGCCTTCCCTCCGCATTTCTCGGACTTCATGGTGCCGGCCCCTCTGCCTCCGTCCCGCTCACGCGTCTATCTCTCTCTCTCTCTCTCTCTCTCCCCCTCTCCCTCTCTCTCTCTCCCCCTCTCCCCCTCTCCCCCTCCCTCTCTCCCTCTCTCCCTCTCCCACCTCCTTCTCCGGTGACCCTCGGATGGATAATGTGCAGGCTATCGCCAAGCCTGTGGCCAAGGACACCCCCCAGGACCAGTACCAGTGGGCCATTCAGGACGACATCACCAAGGCCATGGGCTCGCTCGAGGAGCTCATCCCATCGCCGGCCCGGCGCGTGCGTCGACCCCATCCCGGTTGCCATCCTCGCGTGCTCATGCTCACCGCCTGCTCGCCCTCTTCTCCCCCTCCCCGCCCCCCCCTCTGCTCAATAGTTCCCCTTCGAGCTGGATAACTTCCAGAAGCAGGCCATCCTGCGCATGGAGCAGGACCAGAATGTCTTCGTGGCGGCGCACACCTCCGCCGGTAAGACCGCCGTCGCGGAGTATGCTATCTCCATGGCCGAGCGCACGCGCACGCGGTACGTCCGCCGTCCGGCCCCCCCCCCCCTATCTTCGCCCTTTTTTCCCCTTCCATCGGCGGTCAATCGGCCCCCCCCCCCCCCCCCCCCCTAGCCGCATGTCTCACCTCGCCTGTCATCGCGCCACACCCACACCCACGCCCCACGCCCACAGCGCCATCTACACCTCCCCCATCAAGGCCCTGTCGAACCAGAAGTTCCGGGACTTCTCGAAGATCTTCAGCTCGGTGGGCCTGATGACCGGCGACATCCAGATCGAACGCGAGGCCTTCTGCATGATCATGACCACGGAGATCCTCCGAAGCATGCTGTACCAGGGGTCGGACCTGATCCGAGATGTCAAGTGGGTCATCTTCGATGAGGTGCACTACGTCAATGACCCGGAGCGCGGCGTGGTCTGGGAGGAGGTGTTGATGCTCCTGCCGGCGGATGTGCGCATCCTCATGCTCAGTGCCACGGTGCCGAATGCCCTGCAGTTCGCCAACTGGGTCGGGTGCGTGGCCTCCTCCTTCGGGACCGGCCCTTCCTGTGTGGGTTCTCTGCATGGGCGCGTGCTAACGATGTGTCCGGCTGCTTTCCTGTCTTTCTCTTGGGCCGTTTCCTCCTTCGCTGCTTCCGTCTCCCGGTCGGTCGGTCGGCCCCTGCCCACTTCACTTGCTGCACTGGCGACAGACGCATCAAGCAGCGGCAGGTGTACGTTGTGTCCACCTCGCACCGGCCGGTTCCGCTGGACTTCAGGATGGCCATCACACCGAGCTTCGGGCCGCAGAAGAATCAGTCCCAATTCTTCACCTTCTTCGCTTCCGGCCAGAAGGACCTCAATGACCGGGCGATTCAGGCTGCCGAGCGTTTCCTGATCGATGGTGACAGTGGCGGATCCAGCTCCGGGCCGGGTCCGAGCGGCGGCGGCGGCGGCGGCAGCGGCAGCGGCCCAGCTGGTGCCCCCGGCCGGGGCAGCCAGCCAGCCCGCGGCCGGGGGGGGCGTGGCGGTTCAGCTGCCGCCAGTGCCCCTGGTCGTGGTGGTGGCCAGTCCGGTGGCGGTGGCGGCGGCCGAGGCGGCCCGGCTGCTGCTCCTGGCCGGGGCGGTCAGTCCGGCGGCCCCGGAGGTCGTGGCGGTGGCCAGTCCGGTGGCCCTGCAGGCCGGGGCGGCGGCGGCGGCGGTCGCGGTGGTCGCGGCGGCGGCAGCGGCGGCGGCGGCGGCGGTCGCGGCGGCTCCTCCTTCGCGCAGATGATGAACATTGACTACAGCGGGCTGGTGAACACCCTGAACAAGGAGAGCCAGCTGCCGGCGGTGATCTTCACCTTCTCCAAGAAGCGGTGCGATCACTATGCGCAGCGTCTGGTTGACCAGGGCTCCGGCAAGGGTCGCGTCCAGCTGCTGGATAACATCCAGCGGACCAAGATCCACAGCATCATCCGGCACAGCCTGAGCCGGCTGAATGAGAGTGATCGCATGCTGCCACAGGTGACCATTGTGTCGAGCCTGCTGGCCAACGGCATCGGTGTGCATCACAGTGGCCTGCTGCCGATCGTGAAGGAGGTGCGCATGCATGTTCGGGGGGCCGGCCGACCGGCCGACAGACACACTCGCCAGCGTTCCGGTTCCCCCTCCTGGGCGCCGCCTCCCGGTCACTGACCATGTGTTCGTGTCTCTTTTTTTCCCCCCCCCCCCCCCCCCCCCCCCCCCCAAACCCGTAGATGGTGGAGATCCTCTTCTCCGACGGTCTGGTCAAGGTCCTGTTCGCCACGGAGACCTTCGCCATGGGTGTCAACATGCCGGCGCGCACGGTGATCTTCTCGTCGCTGGACAAGCCGGATGGCACGCGCGATGCCAGCGGCAAGATGATCCACCGACTGCTGACGCCCGGGGAGTTCATCCAGATGGCCGGGCGCGCTGGGCGCCGTGGCCTGGACTCGGCCGGTAATGTCCTGATCCCGGTGTGGCACAAGATGCCCTCGGTGCGTGTTGCTGCGTGTGCTGTGGATGTGTGCCCTGCGCATGTTTCATGGATGTGCCCCGGGGATGTGCCCCGGGGATGTGGCATGTCACCGATCACAGACTCCTCGTCTGCCCCGCCCCCTCTCTCGACGGGAATGTCACTCGGAAACCCGTCCACTGACCTGCTTGCCTGCATGGGATCCCCCCCCCCCCCCCCCTCCACCCCCTCCGGCCTACCTTCCTTGTCGGCCGCCTTCCTTGACATGGGGCTCTTTCCTCCGGGCACATGGGCCACAGCTGGTGGAGCTCCGGGAGATCATGCTCCGGCCGCCGACGCAGCTCATTTCGCAGTTCCGCCTGACATACATGATGGTGCTGAGCGTGCACCGGGTGGAGGAGCTGATCATTGAGGACCTCCTGTCCCGGTCCTTCAACCAGCAGGCCCAGGCCGAGGAGGCCATCACTCGCAGCCAGGAGATTGCCACCTGCAAGGAGGACATCGCACGGCTGCTGGGCTCCGAGGCCTTCACCTGCTCGCAGTGCAAGGGTGACCTGGAGGCCCTGGCCCAGTGTGTCCTGCGCAAGGACCACGCGGCCGAGCGCATGCAGCTGATGCGGCTGGAGGATCCGCTCGCGTGCCCCCCCTGGCGGCTGGCGCTGGTCCAGCTGACCGGGGTGTCCTTCCTGAGCCGGCGCACCGGGGCCCCGATAACCCTGGACCAGCCCGAGGCCGGGGCCTGCTCGGTGCGGGGCGACCAGGTGCTGGTGCTGTTGCAGCACCGGCTGCGCGAGGGCGGCCGCGATAGCAATGTCTTCGGGGGGTACTTCCTCCGGTCGCCGGATGGGCTTGGCACCCAGGAGACTCCGTGCCACATCCACGGCATGGCCATCACCATGGTCACCACCCAGGAGTTGGAGGTACGGCGAGCGGCTGCTGCTTTTCCCTGTTGTTTTGCGCTTCTCGCCCCCCCTGTCCAGTGGTGGAGGGAGGGCTGGCGGCTCGGCTCATGGGCCTCTGCCATGATGGGGGCCGGTCGCACGCACCCGCGGGGCGCCCTCGGCGTTTGGACTTTCATCCTTCGCACTTTTGCTGACACTGTTGGTGCTCGCCGCACGCGCCGTACGCCCGGCCGGCCATGCCTCCCGGGATGGCTGATGTCCCCCCCCCCCCCCCCCCCCCCCCCCCCCCCCCCCCCCCCCCCCCCCCCCC